ATCAGGGCAGAGGTTCTTGCTCTCGGTTTGACCTGGTACAGCCTTGGCCATCATAGCCATTTTGGGAATACACCAGTGGATGGAGGATATCCCTAACCTTCTCCCCAATCCCCATCTGTTAATTCTGTATTTCAAATAAATAAAATAAAAGCTTCAAATTGTTTACATTTCAAAACCTGTGGTAACCAACCAAAGACCACTTGTAGGGAAATCTATTGATTATATAAGAAAAAAGACAAACATTAATACTCTATAAATATAAATTAAGAAATCAGGGATAGATGCTTCTGTTTTTTATTTGTTTCATAAAAACTTATTTAAAAGATTGGGAACTAATATCAAGGAATTACAAAGAGCTTCAGAAACTCAACGACAGCAAAACAAAAATCCTGGTAAGAAATGGGTGAAGGATATGGGCAGGCATTTTTCAAAAAAGCAAATTAAAACTGTTTATATATATATATATATATGAAAAAGTGCTCAGGCTTCCTAGTTATTATGTAAACGCAAATAAAAACCACATTGAGGCTCTACTTAATTCCAAATAGAATGGCCTACAATCAGAAATCTACTCACAGCCCCTGTGGGAATGAATACTACAGGGAAAGGTGCCAGTTTCCACCGTTAGTGGAGTGTAAGCTAGTGAGCAACTATGAGAGTCAGTAAGGAGAGTGCTCAGACAACTGAAAATTGATCTACTCTATGACCCAGCCATCTCACTGCTGGGAATATATCCAAAGAAGGGAAACCCGCACACGAGAAAGCAATCTGCAACCCTATATTTATAACAACACAATCCACAATAGCAAAGACATGCAAACAACTCACATGCCCATTGAAAGAGGAATGAATTAAGGAACTGTGGTACATCTACACCATGGAATACCATCCAGCCATGAGAAAGAATTAAATTCTACCATTTGCAACCAAATGGTTGCAACTGGACACCATTATGTTCAGTGAAATAAACCAGTTTCCAAAGGACAAATGTCATATGTTTTCTCTGATATAAGGCAACATTCTTACAAAATACAAAACAAATAGATATACAGGTGAACAAGTATGTACATATATTCTCATAGATGAACTATAGAATGGAGACTAGTGTAGAGACCAGCAGATTGGGAAGTGAAGATACATTGCAGAATGCATCTCTACTCCTGAATAAAAAATATTCAATAAATACTCCATAAATACTGAAGGAAACAGTTAAATAGACATGATCCTATGATACTAGATTTTCTACTGTTGCCTAGACCTACAACGTCATAATGCACTTAAATAGCACAATGTTAACCTTGTATGTCACTAAGGGATTATAACATTTGCATAATGCTGGGGAAAGTAGGGAGGGACAACAGGAGGGGAAGGAGGAATCCCTTTATCTACAAAAAAGGTTTCATGGAGAACAATAACCATTTAAAAATCTAAAAAAAAAAAAAATAAATACTTGAAAGGCAGAGTTACAAAGGGGGAGGGGGAGAGAAAGAGAGAGAGAGAGAGAGAGAGAGAGAGATCCACTGGTTTACTTCACAAATAGCCTTAAGAGCCAGGGTTGGGCAAGGCCAAAGATTCAGACCTTATTCTTCTGCTTCCTCAGGTGCATTAGCAAGCAGTTAGATCCAAGGCAGAGCAGTTGGGGCACGTGGGATCTTAGCATCACAGGCCTCATTTTAACTGGCTCTGCCACATGCTAGCCTGGTGGGCAAGTACTGGCCTTGTGGCCCCACCCACATTAAAGGTCCTCGGGCTAACACCCAGTTCTGATTCTAATTTGTGCCACTGTGCAGGTTTGGGCCCCTGTGGAGCCTTGAGGGTGACAGAGAAGGCTACAGCTACTGGGTCTCTGTCACCTTGGCAGGGAACCTGGAGTGAGTTCTCCACCACACCCTCCGGCTGTGCCAGGCACGTGACTGGCAGACCTCCCAATGGGGTCTATCTTCTCCTCTTCCCTTCTGTGCTTCAGTGTATCAAAATACTTTCACCGTTAAGTTTAGGGGAAATGACTAAAAAAAGAAGAATGCATTGAAATTGGAAAAACATACACATTAGATAATAAAAAACCCAAGAATGTATTGTTTGAACGTTGAAAACCTCTGGGGTCAATAGTACGGCGGGTCACAAATCTCCAGCAGGAAGAAAAGTGGTAAAACGCCAGGCATACCAGGTATTTTAACAAACAGAAATATCTGTGCTAATATATTTTAAAAGAAGCGGAATGGATAACAGAAAAAGAAATTTTTCCAAACTGATGCATGGGAAAAAAAAAACCAGAAAAGCGAACAAATCTATAATCACTAAACACATTAAAATCACTAGTTAAAAGTCTTTTTTTTAACCAAAATACCTCCCAGACCCAGATAATTTCAGGAATGACTGCTCCAAAACAATCATTTAAAACAATTCATCTTTATTTTGTAGAGAATATTCCCCAAAATAACAGGGACTTATTCACACCTCAATTAATGAAAACAACACAACTCTGACATTAATTTTCCAAAGATTGGTTTATTTACTTGAAAAGCAAAGTGAGAGAAGGGGAAAAGGCAAGGAGACCTTCCAACCTCTGGTTCAAGGCCCTGATGCTCACAAGAACCACAGCAAGGTCAGGCAGTTGCCAGGAGTCATGAACTCCACTAGAATCTCCCATGTTCCTGGCAGGAACACAGGGTTTTAAATACTATACATTCTCTCAAACACACACAAGCAGAAAGCTAGATGAGGAGGACGGGACTAGAAGCTGAACCAGCCACAGTGATATTGCATGTGGGCTTTCTAAGCAGCAGCTTCACCTGCTTAGCCACAACATCCACCCGCAACTTTGATATTAAAGACGGGACAAAGTACACAAAAGGATATTATGGGTCAATCTCACTTAACAGAAAAGCGAAAGTCTGAATAAAATGCAAACACACAAACCAGGAACACATCCTAAATGATAGTTTATCATGCCTGAGCTAGATTTAGTCCCAGGAGACCAAAGATGGCTTGAATTAAATGGTCTATCAGTGTACCTCACCGCAAAAACAGATTAAAGACTCTAGAGGGTAGACATATTGATAAAATTCAGCACCCATTCAGGTTTTAGAAATAAAAATAGAACCATTAGTAACTAGGAACACAAGGTATGATTTTTATCTAATGCCAGATATCTACCAAAAATTAGTTCATTAAAATATTTAAGTAATTCTTACTGAAATAAGGCAAGGATGCCTGGTTGTACTCAGCATTGCGCTGGAGGTGACAGCCACACAAAACCAGTGGAAAGGAATTAAGATTTGAAAGTTCCCGCAAACGCGGTCATAAAGACCAGTATGTGCTCACAGGCATTTCGCAGCATCACCTAAAGAATCTGATCTCTTTTTAGCACTCCAAGATTACTGACTACCTAGACTGTTAGAAGTCTAGATTTTTATTTGAGTGACTTCTGTTCTAGCTGAAATCCACAGTTGCATTTATCTAGAAGATTCTTTGTCATCGTCTTGACTCTGTTCCAAGCTCTTCTATAATCTAAACTTGGAAGACCAGGAATTGAGTTGAGAGTCACTTCCTGTTTGGTAGCCATCTGTCCCCCTCCACGTCTGACCCACAGGCTCGGCGTGTCCCACTTTATGTCTGACCCACAGGCTCAGCGTGTCCCACTCTATGTCTGACCCACAGGCTCGGCATACCTGTGATCTAGGGCTCTCTGGCTCTCCAGGCTCTGACACAGAAAGTGAACAATATGTGGCTTTGTTCCAATGTGCTGCAATCACTAGCGTTTTCTCTGGAAACATTTTCACTCTGTTATTAGTTTTAATGTTTTCCTTTTTCGTAAGATGTTCTCAAAAGATACCATGTCTTTCAGAATTCCCACTTCAATATTGGGTAGGGGAATTGTATTTAATTTTTTTCACCTTTGATACTTTAAAAGGCTTGATCTTGTGGTTTTTCAAGTATTTTTGTATTGTGAGTCATTCTGAGCAATTGACTGGGAATGCAGAAACAGTGTTCTTCCTTTGCTGTTTCACTGTGTGACTGACCCTGGGCCAGCCACTGACCCTAATCAAAACTCCATTCCCTGCGAATAGGGTGAAAATTAGACTCTGCCATTTTACAACTTACTCTTGTAATAACTTATTCACACAATCAGATTGTTCCCATGAAATTTCCATTTGCAAGCAAATCCCCTTTATTATCCTTGCCCAGTGTAGCCAGTTTACATCTCTGTAGCCCATTTTCCCTTTTCTCTATTTGCTTATTTAACTTGCACTACTTAGTTTCATTGAGTAACCAAGGCACTTCATGATTAGTCTAACATGAGTTTTGACATTATACACAAACAAGGGAGAAAGGAGAAAACTTCTGCATAAATAGAGGGAGAGAGACAAGTGGACCTACACACAGTTGATTCCAGTTCCAGCTCCACCATGATTGGGTGAGCTACCATAAGAAAGGTAACCAACCCTTTTCTCCACCCACTTTCCTAACCAGTTAAACCACAACACTTCATCTTTTTAATCTCCTGGCCATTGCTATGAAAACCAAAAGTAATTAAAATAGAGAGTGTTCTGAGAGACTGTACAGTGCTACACATTTCTCTTCACATTAATTGAATATTACTCAATGAATTTAGTCATGATATTTAGATCTGAAGAAGACATTGAATTATATCCATTCATATTAAACAGATACTATTAAAATTACAGTTCATTAATTTTAAAATGTGATCACTAAATCAGGGAAATGAAAACTTTAAGGTAATAAAATGTGGTTTAAGAAAGAATGTAACATGATTTCTGAGTACTTCTTAAAAAAAACACTAATACTTGAATATCTAAGTTTTTATGTTTTGAAATGATAACCATGATGAAAGTTAAAAACACAGAAGGAATGAAACAACAATGGAAGAAGTGATAAAATTCAAGGAGTGACCAAAGGAAGCGTTTGCAAATATGAGCCCTGGGTCACACAGAAATTCAAGGAACAGAGACCGAGAGCAAACTACTTTCTTTTCTTACCTTTGCTCTGTGTTAAAGAGGGCAAAGATGTGTTTGCTAGACATAAAGCTCTTTTCCACATCCCGAACTTTCAGGTTGTCCAAGGGAAGCATGTACTTCTTTTCTTTTTCCTAGAGAGAGAGAAAATTGACTTTAATAAAAAGACCTGGAAGTATGCCAATGGCTAAACATCACCTGAGGTGCCTCACACCTGACTGCACTATTTTGATGCCATCAAACACTACTTTGAAACCAGCTCCCAAGGAATAACCGTTACAGAGATGGCAAACTCCAGTGATTTCCAACACATGGGCAGGAAAACAGGGTGGTGGTGATAGTGGGGGTTGCATACAGGAGTGGCTGTGAGATGGAGAAACACATGGCCTTCCTGATGTGGGTCCCCTTAGATGTTTTTAAATGTTAGTTTGATATTAAGAATTTAGCCATCTGTTAATATTTAACAAAAATGTTCTGGTCCTAATTCAATGAGAAATGCCAGATGGATTTCATTTCATGTTTTATTTGCAGCCTAAGCAGTTTTGATAGCCAGTGTTGGCAGGGGGATGGAAGTGCAAGGACGCAGTATGAAACCCCCCACTTCCAATGAGCCAGGGTAAGCATAAGCACAGGAAAACTGTCCTCCTTTGGGTGTAGAATAAATTAGAAGTCCAGAAAGAGAATGATCCCGGAAAATTGTTGCTCTTAAAAGCAGACTGATATTAGCTAAAATATATTCTTTTTTAAAACTACCAAATGTTTCAGAAGAATATGGGCTTTGGAGAGGTGAGGTCTACAAACACAACCAAAGTGGTGCTATTACAACATATTGGATACTAAAGAATTGGAAACATTTACTCTTAGACCTGAAAGTAGTATGTAAATGCCTAAAAACCAGTAGACTAGGAGAGGCCAGCAAGGCACTGCTACCAGCAGCCTGATAGGAAAGCCTCATTAGGCGTTTGCCCTCTCTCTGATCCCACGCTACCTCTATGGTGCCAATCTTTAAAAATAGCAAGACCAGATTCCAGAGGAGAAAAGCTTGATGATTGAGATGTAACTTTCAATAACTGATCATTAACGCCTGAGGGAAATACACACCCCATGAAAGTATGTTTGACCTCTTCCTTGAGAATCAATGGTTAGGCCCCGGAGCACAGGGCAGAGGGCTCTTCCTTGAGAATCGATGGTTAGGCCCCGGAGCACAGGGCAGAGGGCTGCTGCCCAGAAAGTTCACAGCTCCCATGGTGTACTGGAGAGCAGGTCCCTCCTTGGCCACTACACTTACTCCCACATCAGTCAGATCAAAGTTTGGCAGAACATCCTATGATAGTAAAAATGTAGCTCTCAATTTGAATACAAAAGATAACACAAAATAAGATCAATGAATGCAAAAAATATAGTGAGGAAAGCTAGCTGGAGATCATAATGGTTGTCCTGGCTGATAAAGTCTCAAATAAAAAAAAACAAAACAAAACAAACAAACAGATAAATCAAAACATAAAAGAGATTTCACATGAACAAGCAAAATATTCTAAGACGATTCCAATGGTTTTTGTATGAAAATTAATACAAACACAAGGACAGCCTAAATAATAAAACATATTGTAAGTCACAGTTGAGACCAACTTGTTTAAAAAATTTGTCAAGTTATTTTAGGACATAACACTAAGAGGCAAAAATCCTAGATTGAATGAAAATCCTATCCAATACATAATCAAATGAAAATGTTTGAGACCAGGGAACATTTTTTTTTTATTGGATGTTTTTCAATGCCCCAAATTTATGCAGCTGGGTTTTCTTAATGCATCATTCTATTCAACCTTTTGAAATGATGGATTTGCCTTTAGTGGGAAATCTGCGTTTCATTGTAAAGATGGAACACAATGTCCTTGGCTTGTTTTCTGCAAAAGTACGTTTCCTTTTGTACTGCATTCCTCAGCATATAGAACAGGCTGGGCCCCACCAAGCTGGGCTCGGGTATCAGGCGCTGCTGAGATGTACACATGCAGACAGGGCAGCAGGAGAAGTGCAGTCTTCATTTCCAAATGTCATTAACCCAGGTTTTTGAGGACACATTGCTAAATTATTTCATAATCAAGGACTGACAAAGGAGGAGGAAAGAGTATTCATACTTATTTGTTTAATTAAAGTTGTAAGTCAAAGAATTAAATGAGACAGCGACAACTCCAAGCAATGAAATAATACACCATAGCTATTTCGAAAAAAGTCTTGGTGCTTTGGGGAAACTGATGTTCAACCAAAGCACATCTTGAATATAAATTAGCTAAATAAACAACAGGAATAGAGAAAGCATTTATAGAACTTACAATTTCCAAACTACATCGTCTTAATTAAGAAATTTGTTAAGTAACATATGTCAGTTCAAAGAAAATGTCTAGTAATATGCTGTCCAGTATGGTGGCCACCAGCCTCAGGCAGCTATGAAGTAACTGAAATGCAGTTAGTTAATTAGGAATTGTGTAAATATAAAATATGCAGCAAATCTCAAAAACTTAATAAGAAAAAGAATGTAAACCAAGCCCATAATGATACTTTTGTATTACTTAGAGGTTAAAATAATAGTATTTTGAATATATTGGAATAAATAAATCATTACTAAATGTAACTTTACATATTTTTTTTATTAGTCTGAAGGTGGCTTGTAGAATATTTCAAATGACTTATGCGGTGCACAGTAAATTTCTTTTGACAGCCTTGAGTCCCGTACTTATTTCTTTACTTCTTCGCATCTGTCCGAATAGCTTTCCTCCGTGACCTGCTGATTCCCTCCCTCAACTGCCAGTGTGAAGCTCCCCTGTCCTTTGCACGCGCTGCTTTCCCTCATTTCCTCCCTCACACTAAGACTGCACTGCAATGAGTTTGAACCGTTTACCATAATTCCCTGTTTGCCATGCCCACCACACCATTCCAGGTCCCTGGCATTTCACAGACATGTGTTCATCAACGCAACCCTCTATTGTCTCTTTGCATGTCAATTTCTTTAACATCACTGGGGTGCAAAATTTTAACAACTGTTATGGTAGGTTTCCATTACTTAGGAAAAAATATCACTGAAGTCTTTGATGTGAAACTTAAAAACACCTAAATATTGACCGAACTGTAATTTACAAATGCCCACTTCACTGTAAGAAGTCTGTTTCAACCAAACATATGTTTGCCAAGAGTCTTCACTGAGCTTGCATCTCCAACTCTATTCCAACTCTTCTCTCCCCTGACCATGTTCCTAAAGTCCAGCTCAACTTCAAATTTTTGTTCAAAATATTTCCCTAAGCTCTGCTCTTTCTCATTCCCTTATCTCTCCTTAAGCCTCTTATCTCTGTTTTAGCTCCCTATCTCTCTGCTGTGCGTACTGTAATTTTCACTATTCCTTACATGAGCTGTACTCATTTTGTAACTGTATTAAATTCAAAACCTTGTGTAAAAGTTTCTCCTTTGAAACTCAGAACGTCCAACCAACTCAATTGTTCAAGGAGATTGCATTTGAGAAGAAACTCAAAATAGTAAAACTTTTTTGCATTAAACAAGAAATAAATATTTTAAATGTTTTTATCTTGACTAGATACTCTGGAAGAAATACAATTCTAGAGAAAGATTTTTTTTTTAAGATTTATTTATTTTTATTTAAAGGCGGATATACAGAGAGGAGGAGAGGCAGAGAGGAAGATCTTCCGTCTGATGGTTCACTCCCCAAGTGACTGCAATGGCTGGAGCTGAGCCAATCTGAAGCCAGGAGCCAGGAGCCTCTTCCAGGTCTCCCACATGGGTTCAGGGTCCCAAAGCTTTGAGCTGTCCTCAACTGCTTTTCCCAGGCCACAAGCAGTAAGCTGGATGCGAAGTAGGACCGCCGGGATTAGAACTGGTGATCATATGGGATCCTGGGCATGCAAGGCGAGGACTTAAACCACTACTCTATCGTGTTGGGTCAGAGAAAGATTTTTTTTTTTTTAAATAGACATTCAGAAAGAAATTTTACGTCTTTTCAGAAGCTTCAGACACCAGTGCCACTGGATGAACTTTGTTCTTTTCTTCACATTCTCACACAGTACCTTTCCCCCAGCATTATTCAGATAAGGGGCATTGAAATGCTTTGTTCAAAGAGTGGTATGGGAGGGGCATGAAAGAGCAATTGTTTCTTCCCTGTAGTAACAGGGCAACAGTCACAAGAAATGGGAGAACAGCACAAGGTAGAAGTAACATAACAGTGAGTATTGAAAGGAGACCAAGAGCAGGAGGAATGTGATCACTGACTTCAGGAGAAACACAAGGATCAGTGCCAGGAGAGAGACGAGCTGGCAGGTGCCCAAGGATGGCCTCTAGCTGCCAGAGTGCTGTCAAGACAACTTACACAATGGGTGTGAGCAGATGACGGGGGCTGTGGACAAACAGCTTCTGCAGATGCAAGCAACCGGGAAATCCGTCCTCATGCAATTTGCACACAGGGGATTTGTAACTAGGGGAATATTCAAACAGCCTTGGTTTCATGACACACTTAGCCATTTGTGTGTGTCTCTGTGTGTATACCTTTCCTACCAAAAAGGGAACAAAATCTTCAAAGCTAACAGCATGAGTCTTTCATTTCTGTATATTATGATGCTTAGCATAAAGCTTTACATAGCATATGCTATTCATATTTTTTGTACTGGTTTGAGACTGTTTGATAACCAAAGTCAGATGTTGATTATGATATGTGTTAGTCACATCTATGAGATCAAATTAAAATTCTAGAGAAAGAAAAGCTGTAAGATGCTTAACTGATTGGCACTACTTTTGATCACTAAATATTTACAAAGCTTAGATTGCTGTCACATGTACACTGTGAATGTCTTCTTTCCCCAAGGGCAGCAAACCTCAGGTGTCCCCTCCCCCATGAAGATTACTCTGCACCATGGACCTCTTTCTTCCAGAGCTCTGACTGCCCACGTTTCTGTTACTTAAATGGTTCAGCCTGCCTCTTCAAGATGATGAGAAGCTTCTTGAGGGAAAAGAACAAGTCTTAATTCTTTTGTGTTTCTATCTAAGCATCTTTACACTGGTACACACACAGCCATGGCTTTAAAACTACTGGATTTCAATACGATAGGCCTACCCATTCCATTATGCTAAACATTAT